TGTATAATGAAAATCAACAATACTAGCCCAGAACTGAGATAGCGTTCGTCTCAAGCTTTGTCGTCCTTAAAGTTAGAATAATGTAGATACAAATGACAAAAAGCAACTTGTGCGGTATAGACCTTTTTCAAGGAGCAGAGTATATTTGTGATACCTTATAGATAATGATAAGTTGTACACAGATGGAATAATACAGTATTGCAGATATTAAAAACATACATAGGTTTAAGTAAATGGAACATTTACAGATATTACATATACAACAACATATAAAGGAAAATGGTGTTGCTGGCGTTGCACAAAAACTAGAAGTATCTGGCGCCACCAGTAGCAAGAATCCCACATTTAGAACAAAAAATCAAATGTTATTCAGGTAACGACACGTGAAAGGAGCTTACCTCACAGAATTCTTAAAAGGGAGGGGTCCAACATATCGAATTCCTCTCAGTCTAGAGTTTACTGCCGCAACATACTACCCCTCCCCCCCCCTCCGTTCCCTTTCCCTCTGGATCCGCCTATGTTACAGTAGAAGTTAGAAGGTAGATGCAGATGACGTAGAGCTGCTTGTGCGTTCCAAAATGTATAGTGAGAGAGTGAGTGGGTATGGTTTTAGGTCTTTAGAACAGAGGTCTTCAGCGTGACGAGTGAACGCTCTAACCACTAGACTACCCGACCGCCTCTATTATATAATATTGACATTAATTAGTTTATAAACTGCCTTTTTTAGGAATTTCAAATTTACCAAAGTGAATGTTGTTCGCCGCCGAAGTCAGTTACTTTCCAGGCGTATGCCTAATGATTTCCAGGCCTAGACTTATTATCAAAAAGGCCGGGGTTGATTCGTTGCATGGGAGCAGTGGAGACCAAATGTGGTATCTTCTACTGTGGTAAAGCTGGTAAACTGGTAACAGCGGGGTAAACCCCCACTCACTCACTCACTCTGCTATACACTCAACACCCTTCATCGTATACACATCCCATGTTGCATTGGCGGAGGAACGAGGGGCCATGGCTAGCAACTCGCTTCTGACCACGCCCATATACGGAGACCTTATTAATAAGTTGAAGGCAAACTGTTGAACCTATTCGACTTTCCGAAAAGTCAAGTTCAATGAGAGTTATCCGTCTTGAGTTGGAACTCTTCAATTGGTTGAATGAACTTCCGCCGAGTACTGTCAACTTCCGTCGAAAACAGCGCGCTGCTTCGAAGCTGTCAAAATGGGGAAGGAATACTGCTGTATTTGTAGCAATTTTAGGGGAAAGATAGTCGGTGAAAGAATAGTATCTCTACACGTCATTCCAGTAAGCAAGTCCCTACGACAAGCGTGGATAAGGCGACTTCGGTTAGTGAGAAAAGACCTCACAGTGACCAAGCACACGGAAATATGCTCAGAACATTTCGTGGGTGGTAACGGTCCAGGCATAGGGCATGATGTTCCATCGATTTTTCCGAAGAAAAATTACAGTACTTGCACAGTGAGTTATGTTGATTCTTATAAGATTTATGCTATTGTTGGTGTATTTAATGTGTTTTATCGTTTGTGAATGTTATGTGATTGTGAAAAAAGTGCTATGATTAAAACTTGAAATGAAAAAAACAAACAAAATCGTTTCAAGTTGTGTTGATCTTAAAATTTTATGTATCCTCTTTCATCTTATTTGTTTGAATAAATAGAAAAAAAATGTCTCAGTGTCTGTTGATAATTTGTTGCAGGTGTCTGATGCTGACTTTGTTGATACCTCGAAGCCAAATGAAAGCCCATTCAAGCAGGCCTGTGACCCTGAATCTCCCAAAGTGACTATGCAGGTACATGGAGGGACTCCTCAGTCTGATGAAATTGAACATCATTCCACAACATTCAGTCAAGGTGCCAGGTACAGCGGGAACATAAGTTTTTTCTCTTTTTTGAATTTGTTGATTATTATGAGAAGTTATGCTTAACAAGACAAAATATAAAAATCATGGTGTAGTCTCTCTTACTTACAGAACAATAAAATATAAAGAGCATAAAATATATATAGAGAGCATAAAATATAATAGAGCATTGACCAATAAACTTGATAATACACTTCTTATATTAGCTTTTGTATTAACAGATTTATGTTAATTTATTTTTTATTAATTTTAATTCCTTTAACCTCAAAATATCGGAAAAAAACTATATATTTAATGTGATGAAAAGCTATTTATTATTTTGACAGATCCTATGACGTTGCATCAATTATGCTGCATGACTACTGTGAGGCTGTGTGTGAAGACGACATCAGTTGCATAAGATATGGATCATCGCAAACAGAAATGGTGGAAGTTAGAAGCATGTCTACTCAAACTGACGATGTAATGTTCCAGTGTTTAAATCCTGTGAAAACATCCTGTGCAATGACTCAGACTGAGACTGAAAATAAAAAAGTCTTTCGCAATCAAGCCACTCAAGTCAAACTTCCTGATTTAACATTTTTTGATGTGAAGAATGATTCAGAATTGGTAACCTATTATACAGGTCTTGTGGATGCAGAAAAGTTTTCATGTTTATTTGACGAGTTTTCTGAGGTTCATGACAGGGACTATCCAACATCCAATATAGGACGCCCTAAATCTTTGTCTTTGATAGACGAGTTCTTTCTAGTGTTGATGCGTCTTAGACTTGGACTCCTAGTTGTTGATTTATCAAAGCGATTTCATATTTCCAGAAGCTGCTGTGCTGATGTCATTAATAGATGGATTGATATTTTGTACAACAATTTATCCTTCCTAGTTGTCTGGCCATCAATGGATACTATTAATACAACTATGCCTCAAGGTTTTAAAGATCTGTATCCAAATACAAGGGTTGTTATAGATTGTACAGAATTATTTACAGAAAAACCTTACTCTATTGGTAAACAGTCACAAATGTACAGTCATTATAAAAGTCACATAACATTTAAAGCGCTTGTTGGTGTCACTCCAAATGGTGTTGTTAGCTTTGTCTCTGACTTGTGGTCAGGAGCTATAAGTGACCGGCAAATAACAGTAGAATCAGGACTTTTAGATTTGTGTGATGTAGGTGATGCAATCATGGCGGATAAGGGATTTACAATCTCAGACTTGACAACACCAAGAGGTATACTCTTAATAATTCCACCAAAGAAACATAAGAGAAAACAGCTGACTGCTGTAGAAATTGAACAAACTAGGAGAATAGCGAACTTGAGAATCCATGTTGAAAGGCACATGGAACGTGTCAAGAATTTCAGAATTTTGCAGGGTATAATTCCAATTACAATTTCAAAATCTGTAAACAAAATCTGGAAAATCTGTAATGCTTTGACTACTCTGCTTCCCCCTCTTTATCCTCATGACCAAGAAATTGATGACAATTACTTCTTTGATGACAGTTCCTTGCTTGCTCTGTAATTAGTAGGATTAGCATAATCTTATTGCAGCTCCAGATGTGAATGGTCACATGATATTTTCTGCTGTATTTAAACTTAATAATCATGGTATCATGATAACAATTTTGTATTGAAAACATTGAGCCAAATAAGTCTAGACAAATAAGTCTATTTTTGTCCAATATGACTATTGACATGACCACCTACTGGTTGTCTATTTTTGTTTTACTTATTGAATCAAAGCATTGATATAAAAATCCTGACTCTTCATCTAAGTAGCAAGTTGACCAAAGGGGGAAAATTAATCAGCCAACCATTCTGTCATTGAGACCGTGCGGGTGGAACGTTTTTAGCTCAAATATCCACCTCAGTTCAAGTGCTCTCCTCTTAACTGTGGTGTCAGTAGACTCAGGGTTTTCCTTGAGCTGTGCTATGATGTTATATCTAACATCTTTGGTGCTGTGATCATCACTATTGAAGTGATTAGCTACAGGTTTGTCTCTCTTGTAGCTGATGTCTGCAAAGTGTTCTTTCAGTCTAGTCTGAAATTCTCTTTTGGATTCTCAAACGTATTGTTTCTTGCATTTGTTACAAGTTAGCAAGTAAACTATGTTTTTACTTGTACATTCAAACTTGTGGATTTTGAATGTTTTGCCTAATGTCGAGCTGCGAAACGTATGTGTTTTACCTAAGGAGTTGCAGATTTTGCATCCTTCTCTTTTGCAACTCTCATTTACGAAGTTGACTACCTTGCCGCTAATTTGCGGTTTGGTGGGTGGGTGGGTAGTGTAGTACTGTCCTGAAGTAAGACAAGTTCTTTGGATGAACAACTTCTTTATTACAATTAGTGCGACGTTTCGGTGTAGATCCTAACACCTTTATCAAGCAAGTGATGGATAGGGCTAAACAACAAAGGTATATATACACTTATTGACATCTAAGTTGTTACAGTGACTAGTTGATGGACACAGAGAGGTGATTAAGCTAATTGGAAGCCAGTGGATGACTAATGAACACAGAGTAACTAGCAGAGTAAACAAGCAGACTGATGTGAATTTTATATTACCAAGTTTGTTAAAATCATTGGAGACTGCTTTGATAAACGACTCTAGTGTTGGGTCGGTATAAGGTCTAGGGGTCCAAGTGCTTTTGGGACCGAATTTGTGATCCAGTGTGTTTTGGAGCGGGTGTGAAGTGCCATCAATGGAAGAATCATGGAAAAAATGAGTGAGACATAATTTTCTGAAAAATTGTTTCAGGTCGGAAAAGGTTTTACTTTTGTCAGTAAATCTAGGGGTGGGGCTAAAAGTGAGTCCCTTGTTAAGAACCTCTAATTCAGATGGATTAAGGTCATAATCGGAAAGATTGATAACAAAGTTGTCATGATAAGATTCACCAGTTTTATTATCTGAGTTATTGTTCAGATTCAGATTAGAAAGTTTATTGCACAAACTGTTGTTGTTGAAGTTGAGGTGTTTCGACAACAGCTCTAGGGCCCGTTTGAGGTCCCGCGAATTGTTTCCTTGATTGCCCCTGTCGGGGCGGAAGTTCTGTCGTGGTCTGCGTAGTCCACGAGCTCGATCACGTGATGGTTGTCTCGAGGGGCGAAACTTGGGAGATTTGGCCCGTTTCTGGGTCGGGGTCCCTTGCACGTATAGTTTGGCGGCGAAGGGGTCAGATTTGATAGCCGCCTGTTGTAGGCTAACAAATCTGGTGTTGAATTTTTCATGTGTGGACTTGTGCTCTCTGTCTTTGACTGCTTGACAAGCAGTGTTGATGATGTTTTGAGAGTGTTGATCCGCTTTGGAGATAATTTTATCTTCCAACAGTTTCACTGATTCGTTGACGGAAACAAGCTGGCGTTCTAAAAGTTCTTTTTGTGTACTCATGAGTGTGAGTTTATCTTCATATAAGAACATAAACAATTTCATGTTTTAGCTGTGACAGCAGGATCATAGTCCCATGGTTCTAATTTTTGTGACAATAACTAAAATGAAAGAAATAAACGCTTGATGATTTTCTTAAATCATGTTGTCCATGTTGTCATTTCAAGACGTTACAGAAAATATGTTATTATATGTTATGGCTTAATAGAATGGTTCAAGAAATTACAAGGAGAAGAAGATATCCTATGTCTAAGCGACATACTATCTGAATGGTCAGTCGCCGTGAATGCGGCGTTAAGTAACAATTCACCCATTGAATGGTAAGTATCTATGACTATCAAAGAAAGATATGATATGGTATTGAGTGAAACATTGAATTGACTGAGTGAGCATAGGGTAAAACAACTGGTAAGATGGTAGTGCAACGGTCAATCTAATACAGTGAAACACCTCGCTGGACACGTAGGGTATATTTTTCAGGAATAATGGCTGACAGATAGAAGCTGCGAAGCCTTGTGACCATCTGATGCCACTTGTTCTCGTCAAATGTAATCCTTTCAATAGATATCCCTTTGAGTGTCCACACCACAAAATCACACCAAGTTCTTTTGGTCAAGGCCATCTGTCCTTGTACTTGAAAGTAGTATGCATGGTTTTCTTTTAGAGTCACATTTTTGTCCACAATATGGCAGAAGAAATTTGTATTTGATGCAGCCTCTTCTGGTGTTAGATCTCTGAAAACAGATGGACATTTAATCTCTACTAAGCCATGTTGATTACTACATGTACTACAATCTGTGCATGACACAAGTCCATCAGGGCTAGTTGCAAGGTAAGGGTAGTCTGTATTCACAATTAGTCCACACTGGGACACTTTCAACTGTGGATGAAGACCTGCCATTTTGTTGATATACTGCCGCCTTGCTGCCGATTCATGTGAAAGTCCCCATCTGGTATGTCTGTTACCAAATTCGCCCCGATATCCCATTAGGTCACATACAAGTCTATCTGGAGCTGTAGATGTCTGTCGGATAAATACTTTGCCAAACTGTGAACTTGTTATCCTTTCCAATCTGGCTTCCTTCCAAAACTTTGTTTTATGTTGTCCTCTTGTCATTCTCTCTATTGACCTCACATCCTTTTCTGACACTTTCATGGAATCAAAATAATTTTGAAAGGTAGTTTGACAGGTTGGCGATTTAATATCAACATAGTCAGGAATACAACGATCAATGCATGGTATTTTTGGAAGTTCTGGCATAGGTTCAGGAGCTTGAGTAACAGTAGTTGTATTAACAACATATCCACATTTACTTTTTGTTTCATGACCAATTAACTTCTTATTAAATCTTGTGAGATTTATTGTTGTCTGTGGCATGTTGCTGTTGGGACACATTGATCTTTTGTTGATTGTTCCATTCTGTATTCCGACAGTACCTTGTGTAGTCCCAGTACCTTTTTGTTGACTCTTCCTGCCACTTGACATCAGGTTCAAGTCATCCGATTTCATTGGATCCAACTTCCTTTTTCTGGGAATTTTCCACTTGCACTCAACTGATGTGCATGAAAGCAAACCATCCTTTTTCTTCTGACTAATGTCTGCAAGGGCATGAAGCAGGGCTGATACATGATTACAAGCCTCCCCGGCACTGCAAAAACAAAATTAGTTATATTTATTAATATTATTTGGACTCTAGCTTTAATATTATGAAATAACAATCAAATGCATATAAAATGACACAGTCATGTTTCCTCTATTTCACCCTAAATAATTATTATTTTTAATGTAATCAGCTAAAGATGTCACATATTAATAAGCAACAATATCAATAATCTGTTTATTTATTTAAATTAACAAAAGTGAATGAGAGGTCCCACAAAGGAAGAGATTTTAAAATGTATCAATTACTTTGCTGGTATTTGGAATTAATAATTTACAAATCTTTTGATCAAACTTAATATTTGGAACATATTTTCTTTGAAAAGGTTTTTAAACGTTTTGTTTGTAAAAAAACAGCGATCTAGATATAGATGACACGACTGTAGTTATATAAATGCAAAGTCTACATACCCAGCTGCACAAGTACAATTTGCTGAATGAACACGACCTGTAACTTTTGAGAGACTTGCCCAAACTTCGTGATCGGGGCTTTTCTTAGGATCCGCTGTTGGTAGTGATGGTATGACACGGCATCTGACAAACATATGGTCACAGTCGTGATGGATGTTGTGTAGAGCTACGCCGTGAACATGTCTATCTTGGTAAAACACCACTGCCTTCATTTGTCGTTTAGCCATCATGGGTTTCGTGTCTGAAGTCCTATGGTTGCTAAGTACCATATAATTGTAGATTTCCTTCTCTGAGAATTCCGGCAATGATTCAACAGCATCGTTCCATCCAATCATTAATGTAGTGGGGTCTGGCATTCGATATCCGCTGGGTGTGACGAGCTTCCGTTGCAAGGATATAACGCCTTTACTTGGTTGTACTAAGGTGGTTGCATCCAAACGAAGTGCCTTCGCCCCTCTTGCTCGCGCTAAAACTTGTGCTCTTATCCCAGTCACCTTTTGATTTCGTTCCCGTAGGTATTCACGCAATTCTTTAACTGTCATTTGATGGAATTCATCATCAACGTCAATATTGTTATTTGCCGCCATTTTGAAGGTTTACTCGGCGGAAGTGAACGTGAAAAGGGGACATCACTCTAATTTTCTTTGCAAAGGGAGATAACAACACTTTTCGGAAAGTCGAATAGTCCTCGCTTCTTGAAATAGAATATCGTTATTATTAATGAAAGACGATAGCTGCATGTGGGCTAATACGTATAAAGTGAAAAAAAAGCCATTCAGGCGACAAGAAATATTACCTTCAGTAGTGACGAAAAATGCATTGTGCGATTTTTCTAGAAATATCCTTTTTGTTAGCGATAAACGTCATCATTGAGTTCTCATCACGTGACTACAATCCGGGCAGAGGTCAACAGTCAGGTGACTGCGAGCGGCTATATTTAGCAGGGTGTGCAACGTACGTTCAGCCATGTACGAAATACGCATAATGTCGGAAAGCGCACGTTAAAGTAAGTAAGTAAGTAAGTAAGTAAGTAAGTAAGTAAGTAAGTAAGTAAGTAAGCGAACGCTCATTACCAGAACCGACTGAAAGATAAACGTGCACATGATGTATTTAAAAAGCGCTATTGATCTAGTTCGCGATGCACACACTGCTAAATATAATCGTGCGAGGACTGCCTTTTTCTATAACACCACGTTTACACAATGATCTTATATACATTCCATGCTGCATTAGCGACGGGGTCAAGGGCCACGATCAGCAGCTCGCATCTGACCACGCCCATTGAGGGAGACCTGGTGTTGAAGGCGTTGCAAGTCGCCTTACGGAGACACATCTTGGCACAGTCGAGCTTCCGGATGTTTTCATGGCTGGCGATGATGTTGTGAGACTCTCTGGCTCCTGTGCTGTGACGACCGAACACGGCAGATGATACTGAAACATATTAAGGGATGTATACTATAAGAGTGCAGTTTAAAATATATATTTTTTTTATAAAACATGTTACACTCCGATTGTGTGTGTTACTGTGACACTCAAGTGACATTGGCGCCTCTAGTTTCACGAGTCACGATTCAGATACAGTAAACTACGGTTATAACGAACTCAAAGGGACCACTAATTTTAGTTCGTAATACCGTAGTTCATATATACAGCATATGTACAGCAAATGGCCGGAACTAAAAATATGTTCGTTATATCCGTCAGTTCGTTATAAGCATGTTTGTTATAAACGTAGTTTACTGTAGCGCGTTTACTCGAATTACTTTCTTTCAGACGACATACCTCAAAGTTCCAACAGATCCCTATCAACACTTTGTTCTACAAAGGTAATTCAGAGAGTTCGTGGCACCATAGACTTTGCTTTGTGTAATGTGCGGTATCAACAGGTTCCTGAAAAACATCATCTCTGGGATGACATAACACAAAGTTACAGACAGATAGCTGAATCTGTTTTCGAGGAGTGAAGTAACTAGAGTATTTGACAGGGGTGCTGTAATGTTGGTAATCCACTTCCCTCAACTGTGTTAGGTCACCTGAACTCCCTTACCTCCGCCTGTGTTGTGCACTGGGGCTCCCCTCACCGCCACTTCACACAAGGTTAAAGTCTTCCAACCGGAGTTGTACTTGACGATTCTGACGTAACGTCCAATGGTGTTGACGGCGCAGGTCAAGTCTACCGTCAGACCTCTGCCCACCGTGCCTTCATGCAAATAGCAGACTTGTAGGCCGGTGTTGCTGCTGGTCATCGGGTCAGAAGTATGGACCTCCACAGTGAAGTTGGTTAATCTTACGTCTGGAAGGAAGAAAACATATGGTAATAATGTCGCCTGTAGTCTCAGATACACACTCCTGTTCAACGTGAGGTGCATGTTGTGCATTAAAAAGACACCCACGGACTGGGAAAACATCGCAAGACTCACGTTTTTAAATGTGCATATGAGGATGGACCATTAACTCTGATGTCTGGGTGAAAAGCAAATGTGATAAAAATGTAGCCTACAGACAATTCACTGCTGTTCATCGCAAGCCAACTATATTATATATAAATTGTCAATGCAAGAGAAAAAACATCCTAGATTTTCTGCCGAAACAGATTCCACTTGGCGTAAAGGGCAAGTACCTATGGGAAATTATAAGAATGGATCACTGAGATCAGAGATAACACCAGGTGTTCGCGAAAAAGTGTGAGGTTAAAAGGGTATTAGAAATGATGTATACTGACAAGCAATCTCAATCTAGATCTGTACATTGAGATTGAGAGTGACAGACAATTTCCACAAGACAAGTATGCCGACTGTATAACAAGAGGGATGATTTCAACAATGCAAAAATCAAATTTCCCTTTATGTCGAGCAATATTCCAGCACTACCTGCCTTTGGTGTTTACATTTCGCAATCCTATGGTATAATGTAACATGCTCTTTCTACTAAGTTTTCAAAGAGCGTCATACGACTCTTGCTCAAAAGTTGTTTGAACAAGGTTGCAAAACTCAAGATCAATAAGGCTTTCAAAAAGCTCTATGGTAGACATGTGGAGGACATATCCAAACTGGACACATCAGTGACAAAAACAAGGTCACATGAAATTCCCTACTTTGATTCGTGCTATATGTTCCTGTGTTTGCTTAGGTGACAATTTGATTGATTCGCCTTTGCAGGTGTTTGTGACGGATGCAACTCGTGCTGCAGGTTACGCTCACCTTCCTGCGAACACCTAGTAACATCACATCAGTCGGAATCGTACACAGGGTTCTGCTTCGAGATATTTTCACGGGTGGCGTAATATGACATGAAATAGCCACTATTTCCCCCATCACGAGATGAGAGAAGCATGGAATATGCTATTTAATATTTTCTTTTTGTGTAGTTGTCTAGCGGAAAATTAAATTATTTCATTGCAAATGTGAAACCTTGAAACGTTAATTCTCCCGACCTATCACATAGGGACGGCTCACCGCCACTGGTATTTGCGACTAAAAAAGTAGTTTCGTGGTTGAAAAATCTTAAACAATATATGAAAAAGTAACAAAAATATATAATAAATAGGATATTCGATGAGTCCAATAATAATCATGTTTTTTCACATAGTATTTCACTCGACACATGAAATATTCTCTATTTCACCCATGACGAGATGAGAGAAACATGATGTTTCAAAAGACATGGAATATCCTATTTATTATATACCTTTTGTGTAGTTGTCTAGCGGAAAATTGAATTATTTCATTACAAATGAAAAACCTTCAATCGTATATTCTCCCTACCTATCATAGGGACGGTTCACCACTTCTGCGACTAAAGAAATAGTTTCGTGGTTGCAAATCTTAAACAATATAAACAAAAGTAACAAAATATATTTTAGGGTCACGAAAATTCTGTATCATACAAATAGATATGATTATATACAAAATCAACTTTAACAAAAATATTCTTGAAAGGTACGAGACAGCTGTTGGAAGCGAAAGAAAACACGCTGGTCAAGTAACAAAAATGGCGCTTTGCAAAACGAACAGCCTCGATTGACGAGTTAATTGAGAAAATTACAGTTTATAACGAAACATTTTTAAGAGAATAACAAATGGCATGAAGCGACATTAACTCCATAAATTACTATCTGTCATTATTTTGCCTTATCAACCTGGAACTAACGTAAAAAGGTCAACACTTTGTGTACGGGCCAGACACTTACGATAAAGGGAGACAAGTTGAGGGGAGGTAACTCTTGTATGACTATAGCACCGTCAAAGTGTTAAGTGTGAAACATTAAGTGTTATGATAATATCACATTTCTCAACTTTGGACGACTTAGTCTTTCACACTGAAGTATATAATGGATTGGATGTGGTACCTTCCGAATCAGAATAGGAATACGGCACAATTCAGTTTAAATATTTATGTAATATAAAAGTAGAAAACAAACATATGAAAACAAAACTAGGAATATGTTTTCATAACAATGTCTTCCTGAAACATTTGTTATTGTCTTTAATAAATTTGGGGTTTTAAGTTAAACAATCATAATGGTATACATGATTCATAATAATTAATAGCTACATTGCTGTAGTATTACTTTAAAATGAAGTAGATCTGTGGAGACATGCAGATGTTGCTAAAACTGAAACCCACAACGTTGTGAGTGCGTTTGTTATATTTAACCTCCCTAATGGTCACATATGTTTACTCCTGTAGCCTGACACATAAATTAGTCACACTGTCCAAAAGTGCTAATATCTCCCTACACGGAAACTGTGTCAAGGTATTTACGCATATCATGACACAAATTTTGTTTATGTCTTTCCAACGATTACTCATCCCCATGTACCAATGTCCCCAAGTAATATTCTCATAACAAATAAGGCATGGTTTTCTTTTGGCGGATTCATGCAGACAGAGGAAATTACAATTATCATTATACACCCCAATGCCGAATCATTTTACATGATTTTCAAAAATCCAGTGAGGAAGAAGTGAAAATATTCAGGATTTTATCAACTCCGGGAAACGATATGATGGTGCAGATGGAAATATGTCATATACGTTTTCAAGAAAAGTACCGATATGCAGTCCCTGCACCGACGATGCTGTTCCGGAAGGGGAAATGGTAAAAATAGAGAAATCAAAATATTGATCTGCCGCTATACACGAATATCCAATGTATGCGACGTTTAGCGCTATAGATATTGTTATTATTATGTGATAATTTTTAATATTGTATGATTATCTGCCATAAATTTGAGTATGCGCCAATATCTGACCATAGACTGAGAGAATTGAGATGCCAAAGTCATTTTGATATTGATCCCAGAAATTAAGATTATTATCATTATTAAACACAAAAGCACCTTTACTCCAAAAACCTGGTAATAACAAAGTGTTGGAAAAGTTATTAACCACCTTCAAGATTACCCTTACTGTAAACCCATAAAGACGTAAAACAAACATTTAAAAAAATGAACCAGTGGCTCGGAACATATTTTCAATAAATTATTAAATTGTTATTAAAGAAGCTAATAAGGGAGGCGCTATAATATGGACAACAATTATTACCAAGCGCTCTTATTAGATGTCTTAAAAGATGAATCTCGTTACAGGAAACTTTCAGACAGTTCGGAGAAATCTGAATTACTTAATCATAAAAGATAAGTACATTCACATTCTTAATGCCTAACTAAAAGCGAAGAGGATTATTTAGTTAATTATGAATTATGAAAGTAATTTTTATGGCCTCCCAGTTCATAAGTGCACAGATTCAAGAATAATGTCAAATATTGAATTCTGCTTATGCAAGAATACCCCCTGTATATGATTTAAGATTACGACCAATAATTGC